CTAACTAATGGTTTTTTGAATTATTTTTGCGATTTATTTGTTTACTTAGTGTTTTGGGATCTACGGGAAAGAGTTTTGGTATTTCGCGCTTATACAGTATTAGAATTAAAATCCCGAAACATAAAGCTGCTTACCAACTAATTTTGTCATATTCACGTTTAAACATTTTGGTATCTTCTGGTGGAACGTACTCTTAAATCATATATGGACTTTTATTTATGAAAAAGTAAATCAAGATAAATATCAGGTTGAAGAGTTAATGAAAACAGTGGAGTTATTATTCTAGTATTAATTTTACAATTCCTATACTTAATGTGAATACTTTATATACAGTATATCTAACATTTATGATTTTTTTTACCAATTATGAATTTTTAACTGATACTATAGAATCAGTATATCAATATAGACAAAATAAAAAAATGATTTGGTTCCCAATGATAAATTTAGTAAAACATAAAAATGTCTTGATAACTGGTAAAACTATATATAAATTAATTAAATATACCAGACAACAAAGAATTGATCTTAGATTTAAATGAAATAGAACAATTTTATCAAAATTTATTTACTGTAAAATGCAATTTTAAAATATAAAAAATAAAAAATAAATTATATAAAATAGGAATAACTTTACTATTGCAAAAATTTGACAAAGAAATAGATTTAGTAATGGCAGTTATGCTTAAGAAACTTAAGAAATTATACCCACATCCAGAAGGAATATTTACCAGAAGATTAGATACTGTTAAAATAGTAAAATCAAATGAACAATATTTTACAAATTTGAAAGTAAATAATCTTGAACTTATTGTCATAGTATTATAGTAGTGACCCTGTGTATTATGTTTGAGTTATATTAGATTGTGAAAAAGAGAACTTTAGTTGTTTACAATAGTGCTTGTAGCAATTAGAGTACTGAGTATTAATTGATCAGATTAATGATTTCATGCATGCATAGTTTATTTTAGTAAATATGTTATACAAATATAATTCTTTGTAGTCTATTGTAGTATGTGTAATTGTATATAATAAATGTAGTCATCTATTATTAGTTTGATTAAATCAATTTGTAGTCAGATTAAATAGTTTAATATAAATATAATTAAAGGGATTTGTAAACAACCCTAATTTTTTTTTATTATTTAAAAAGTAAGTTTCACTCTGACAAATAAATCTTCTTAGTATAAACAGTAAACATAGGTTATTGAGGTGACTATGTCTGGTGGTAATGACTAGTGATGAGTGAGTAATTTATTTTAAAAAAAAACTAACCTAAGTCCTATAACTAAGAATTCCATAATATATAGTGATACTGTATTTAATCAATTGTATCTAATTTTAGATGAGAGTACATTTATGTTCTCTAAAAAATCTTAAATAAATGGTATTTAAATTATAGCATGAGTTTTTTATTTAGGTTTAATAAAGAGAAAAATATAAGTAGAAGAAAATTTATACATAAACTAGATAGGAGAAAATATTTTTACAAAAAATTTATATTATTTAAAAGATAAAAAAGTTATTCCAAATGTGTCTTATATATTTATAAAAGATGAAATTCTTAATAAAGATAAGATTAAAATTGAAAAAAAGATCCATTTAATTATAGCACAAGACCAATTAACTTATTTTAATAGTATGTTAATAAATAGTAAGCAAAGTAAAAAATTTGATTCTTTAAATAACTATACAATAGATTTATTATTCATATATACTATCTTACTAAAGATATTTTAATTAAATTCACAATTTAAATATCATATTGCTATAGATATAATAGCAATGGATTTTACTATGCCATAGCTATATATGAAAATACTTAAGAAAATTAGAAAAAAATGAATATAAAAGCCATTATCAAAATATAGTAGCTGAAAACTTAATAGATAATTATTATGATAATTTATTTAATTTATACTTGTAGAATATGTATAGTGGTGAAGTTAAAATGAAACACCAAAAATATAGTATGGGCCAAGGTACTGTGTCTCCAGATAATACAATTTATTGTATTGTTCTATATATTGAAGTATTTACTAAAATAACTGGACTTCTTTAAATATAATTATCTAACTGCTTATAGTGATAATAATGTTTTTAGTTCTAATATAATAAATAACAAATGAAATTTAGAAAATATAGTGAAATATTTTACTAAATGTGGAATTAGTTTTAAAGTAAAAAATGAGTTTGATATAGTGAATGGAGTAGAATTTTTATCTAAACAATATTATGATAAAGAATCTAATTTATTAAATAAAGTTAAAAAATATGTATCAGATTATAAATATAATATAGGTTTTAAACATAATTATAATAAATTACTAATAAGATTCTCAAATATCAAAAAAGATCCAAATAAAAATAAAAAATATTTGTTAGAAAGAGTTTGTAAATTGGCAAATAATTATATTTACTATCCTGATATATATTAAATGTGTTTAGAATTTTATAATAAATTAATTTATCATTATTATAATTATATAAAAAACTAGTTAAAACCTGTGCAATAATAAATTTATTAAAATTTAAAATATTAAATTAAATAATATATATATATATATTTTTTTTTTGGTATTAAGGTAATCTCTTTGGTCTGGGGAACTTTTTATTAGAGTATAGACGAAGTTTTATATGTAATTACAACGATGGTACATCAAGC